TTTACTCGAAGAGATCAAATTATTGGTGGGGACAATTCAATAATCGCTGGATATTGGTGGGGACATGTCCCCTCCGTCCATGCCAAATCTACACCCTTGGTCGATCGGCTCAGATATTTGAAGTTTGCACGGCTACATTCTCACCTGAAAATATGTTAAAAGTTTTTTGCGACCCAGAAAGAGAAATAAGAGTAATATTAAAACTAAGCAGCTGCCGTCATTGTTCGAAACAAGTACTCTGATGTCCTGAAATCATTATGATGCTATAATTTGAGATACAATGAATAAAATAAGTTTTTGTACAAAGTACCGGTATCGGATCAGTATCGTCGATACCACCCTGAATATTACTTGGTATCGGATCGGAAAGGAAATCAGTGGTATCGCACATCACTACTGAATGAGTTGAGTATAACGTGAGTGAGTATAACATCAACAAAGCATTTCATCCAGAGAACTGGCACTCCTTAGATCTTTTTCTTTTTTTCAGACCACCCTATGTAAACCTTGGAGATGGCTGTATAGGAACACCCTGTCGATCAGTAGTTTCTGCACCAACAACCTTGCCATGTTCAAAGTCACTCACATTACCTTTCTTCCCCATTCTGATGCTTGCTTTGAATATCAGCAGCATATTGTGAGCATGTTTACTTGCCAAATAGTTTTGAGTCACTGCCATGTGATTGGCTAAAAATGTATGTCAACAAGCAGTTGTATCACCTGTAATAAAGTGGCTGTTGGGTGTTGTTTTTAAAATACATTGATTCCATTTTAAGATCGTAACATAAATAACTGAATCTGAAAGTCATGCCAAGCACAAAAACCTAATAGAGAGCTATTTAACCCAGTCAGTGTTGATCTCGTCGAAATGACGTTAATGCCATAACCGCATTAACGCGGCAAATCTCCGTCAGCAACTTAGCGCAGATCGCCCCGTGGCAGCTAAATGTTGTATTAAACACAACCATAAACAGTGCTACACATAAGCAGACTTAATAAAATCAAATTAAATTACAAAAAAGGAAACTAAGTAAAAAACTAAAAATAATTTTCCTTAAGGGTCATGCTTAGTAATGTAGTGTAAATAACAACAGCATTTCTCACTGTTTTATGATTTTCCTTGTAGTTACTTTCGTCATGCAGCTGGTGATCCGTCGGTACCGTCCTGCAGACAAGGACACAGTGCTCACCCTCTTCAGTACTGGCATCTTGGAGCATATCTGTCCATGTTTCTATAACGCCATGACCAGTCCCCTTTACCTCACCATCACCTCGACTCTGTGTGCTGTTGGTTATCTCCTTGGCTCTGTGTTTGGAGCTGTACTGTTCCCAGCAGCTTGGGTAGGTCTCATCTACTACTGCTGTCATGAAGTATATGCCACCGTCGTCAGGGTGAGACTTCGCAACGACATGCAGGACATCCCTGGGAATTTCCTCAGCAGACCTGATGACTGTTTCTGGGTGGCTGAGGCTGAGGTTGGAGCGAGAGCCCAGGTTGTTGGTATGGTGGCTGTGGTAGCTAAACACAGTGGGACAGAAAAGTATGGGGAAATGTTCAGAATGATCATTTTCCCACAGTATAGACGGATGGGCCTCGGCTTTAGGTTGACTCAGACCGCGGTTGACTTCTGTAAAGAACGGGGCTTCTCCAAGGTGGTGTTGCAGACTACCTCCACCCAAATGGCAGCCGTGGTTCTGTACAGCAAAGTGGGGTTTAACCGTGTCCTGTCTAATGTCAAAGGACTGGCAGCTCCCTGGATCATTTCACTGGCCAGGGTCACGATTATAAGGATGGAAAAATACTTGTAAATCAAAAATAACACTCATCAGCAGTGTGTTGTTTTCACGCTTGGCTCCTCTTTAACAGTGGTTTAATATTTGGCAATGGTTAGACTTGACTGTAACCAAAACGTTGTTCAGGTGTAACCTTGGAAGAAAATGCCCAATCTGTTATATACTTTAGGACAAAGCACTATGAACAGATCTGAAAGTAAGGAGCAAGATGTTGTTACTAAAACCTGGTTTCCTCTTTATAGAGTACTTTACATATTCTCTGACTACACCTTAAGCCCCCCAAAAATTGTCTGTTAACAACATAAGGCCAATTAGCAGCTCCAGTCCTTTGAACCAAGATTTAACAGTTAATCCTTACATTGTGTACTTTTCAGTGACGATTAGAATAACTTAATGTAATCAGATGTACTGACCACTTTCTGCTGTATTCATTTAAAAAAGAAAGAAAGAAATGTTTTAAAATGTCATAACTGAGAGACAGTTAACATATTGTAAGCACATGATACAAAGATACATGTCGTAATAATATTAATAATAAAACCATTAACTTTTAAAAGGCAAACGTAGAGAATTTATATGCATCAGAGTGGACTTAAAATTCTCATTAAACTCTTCCATTGTTTTACACCTTTTTTCCTTGATGTAATCAGGATAACTGAGATATTTGCTTATGAAATGAAGACATGATTATTAAGACTGATGATGTTGAAAATTAAATCACAAATCTAAATTCAGTATGTTGTGCCCCAGCCTGTACTGTAGATGTGAATGTGAACAGCAGAGGACACTATTGATCTAAGTAACACTGAAGCTCTTTTGATGAAAATCAGTATTTACTGATATTGTACTGTATTTACTTCCTTTTATACCAGAAAGTATTAGGAGTTTAAAATATGTGTGCACCAACAACAGTGCTGGGAAGTAAATACAGTACATTTTCTAATATGTTTTGTGAACACAAGTTTTATATCTAGAATATGTTGTGATAGACTGTGATGCAGAATATGAAACAATAACAGATGACCTAGTGCACAACCTTTCATGGGTAATGGTAGCAGTTTGAAACTCACTGACTGCTGTAGCTGGTGTTCATTACAACTTCCAACATTTTAAAAATTCTATGTGGTTTGATTTGTCATTTTTCAGACCAGAAAGGAAAAACATAGTATCTCCTGCAGTTAGCAAAAGACCACAAGGACTCCTCCCATTGTTTTTTGTGTTTTCCCATGCTGTACTGAAAACTAATTCCCCTCTAAGTGAAGCAAAATATGCATTTTTCTATGCTCAGGAGATACTTTGTTGTTCGTGTAAACACACTTTTGAGTTGTCTGCCTATTTTTCTAGTTTACCATTAGGGGGTGCCAAATATTTGAATCCTAAATAGAGTATCCTGGGCACGGTACAGTAAAATTCAGTTTTACGTGGATTTCCGGTTGATAGTTTTTCTAAGAACTGAACAAATTATTTAAATCAACACTGATCAGTATTGGCAGAAAATTGTAGGAACTGTGCTGGAAAGACCAATATTTGTGTGTATAGTATTCTTCTAGTCATTTTGTGTTTCATTTCTGAGAGCACGCCATATGTCTCAGGTTACTGAACACCTGAATGATGAGGGGTTAATATGCCACTTTTCTGCATGATCTACATCAGTCACAGAAAACAGGCTCCAGATATAAAAGGAAAGGATAAAAACAGCCTTTGATATATGTGTCACACAAAAGATGATTGTTATGTAACAGACCATCTTATACAGAATAAAATATTATTCACATGTGATTACACACAGGTATGAAGATAAAAACAGAACCAGGTGTGCCTGGATTAACTTTAATTTACTGCTCTGCTGCCAGCTGAGGGGATGAACCTGAGTGAGACCTGTTAAATGTGTTTGTGACACAAGGACCATAAGACATAGCAGTTTGTTTTAGGCTGTACGCTTTCCAGCGCGCTCCCGTCAATGCTGTCCTCTCCAACCCTCAGAGATCTCTTCTGGGCCCCAGCAGCTACTGAAATAGGGAAGGCGTGGTTTGTGTGATGGACCTCAGCTGTGGAGGTACCGTCCCCCGAACCCACTGCTCGATCCATCCCTTGCAGCTGAGCCACAAACCACACTCCACCACAGTGTTAAAACACTGAGGTCCTGGAGATGGCATGTCATCCTTGCCAGAGTCAAATGAAAGAAGAAAAAAAAAGGCTGGTTGTATCTCCTGTAGCATTTAGAAATTGGAAACTATTACTACCAATTACTGTATCAATTGAAAAGTATTTTATGTGCAAAACTTATGCTAAACTGTAAGTCACAACCTTACCTGTAGACAAATTGGTATATGCAGGTAACTATGTTAGCAGCAAGATGCTTTAAATGGAAATTTGTCAGGCAAGAAGCAAAATGGCCTCTTGTTTCTTGGCTATGGATTAAACTGTAGACAACAAAATGAGTACTGAATCAGGGTTTAAAAAGAGCATCTCAGTCTGTAGTTTTACTCACTTGTGTACCTATCTTTGATCCTTCCAGATGGGTGTAACTCTAAGAGTGGTTAGGTAATTAATGTTGCTTTATTTTCTGTCTATAAACTAACTTACCAAACTTAAGAATTAAAATGACATTAAAAAGTAACAGAACAATTATACTCAACGTGTATTCATTAGATATATTAAATGTAATCATTGCAATTCAAACAGAGACTAATTTTGCATGTAAAATGAGAAGTAAGAGCTGGTGAGAGGTCGAAGCTAAACACATGACGATCTGTATGTTGCTTGTGCATATATCCTACATCAATAAATACTGGAAACAACAAAGGGAGTGGAAATTTCTAAGTATGTGAGGTATGTTGCATGTGTACAGTAGCATGCATGTGACTCCTGTTTCATCATATTTGACAGCAGCCATCTTCGGTCAGTATTTTACTGCTCTTCAAAGGACTTGTTGTCCATTATTTGGTCTCTGTCATAAGAGAAAAGTACGAAAAGTCACGTAAACCTGTTGATGACAGCCATGAGCTGTATTTCAGTTTGTTGATGGTAACTCACAGAAATATCGATTGCGAGTTGTTCACACAGTCGCCAGCGTTCACATGCTCTCTGCAGATAAACTGGCCAGCCCCCAGATAGACTGCAAACGCGCTACTCCCGCTGAACCATAAATTCCGCTTTTGCGATTTTTGACTCTTCCGCGTTGCCTTCGTTTTTTGGCCCCGCAGGTTGTTGGAAGGTTGTGATTTCTGCAGGAAAACGTTCTGCATGGTTGACTTTGTGTAACATTTTTGTGTAATAGTAGAGGATGTTTAACACTTTTACAGCTGTACTTTGAACCGAATCATCCCATCGAAGTATTACATGGGCTTTGAGAGTCAAGCTTTTGTGCTGCTTTTGTGTTTTATTAACCAGTCTAGAAGTTGAGCTGATTCACGGTGTTGCTGCGCTTCTTCATTGTTTCGTGTGAACTCTTCTCCGTGAAGTATCAACTTGTGCAAGTTCACTAACGTAAGGCAGAGGTAATTGTGCGATTGTAATATGACTAGCAGACAAATTTGTTACACAGCAACTCATATAATCGTTTCTTGTGTTGTTGTTTTTTTATTAAGTTGGATAAGGTCTGTTAGAGACCTGTTGGTGGTGCACGAACAGGCCTGTGCTGTTGCTGAATGAGTTGAGTTTGGTGTAACGTGAGTGTGATCATATGTACAGACACTGTGTAACGGGTTTTCTGGCATTTAGACACATTTGATACCATTATATCCATGACGTAATGACATAGCATTAAACCATCACGTTAGCTCGTCCTTATTGCGTGCCGCGTGCATTTAAAAGTGCAAAGACTGTAAAATAACGAGTACGTTCTGTGTGGAGATGTATTTTAAATCAAGGCAAAGATGGAGATGTATCAGATTGTTGTCTTGTTAAAAGGAAAAATGAACATTTTTGAGCAGGTACACCTGACTTTCAGCTATTTAGTTGAAAACTGAAACTACTGCTCATCTTCACTACGAACCAATCTGCAGATTACATTCACCAGCCACTTTATTAGGTACATCTTGCTAATACTTGGTCAGTTTGGCATTTGCATTCAGAACTGCCTTAATTCATCATGGCATAGATTCAAGGAGGTGTGGGAAATATTCTCAAGAGATTTTGGTCCACGTTGACATGATAGCATCACAGAGTTCTGATGCAGATTTGTTAGCTGCACATCTAGGATGTAACTTTCCACATCCCAAAGGTGCTCTGTTGGATTCTTTAACTTATTCACTCCTATTTAGTACACGGGGATCTGCCAGGCCCGGGAGCCATCACCAGTCCTCTTTGAGGCCTTCCCCAAACCGCACCTCAATTAATGTCCAAGCATTCACCTTTACCTACTAAAATGCTGTCAAACCTAAAATGAGGACGTGGGCCCAGCTAGTGAAGAGTCAGCAATGATACTCAGGTAGGCTGTGACATTTAAAAGATGCTCAGCCAGTGCTAAGTGCCCAAAGTGTGGCAAGAAAAGACATTCATTAGACCAGGCAACATTTTTCTAGTATTGTGTTGTCCAATTTTGCTGACGCTTTAGTCTCAGCTTTCTGTTCATAGCCGAGTATGTTTAAAAATGCTCGTCTATATAACTTCGTTGTAACAAGTGGTTATTTGAATTATTGTTTCTATCCTATCTGCTGAAAGCTGTCTGGCCATTTTCCTCTGCCTTTTCAACACGACAATAAAAAGTTCTACACATTAAAAAAATTTTTTTATAAAATCAAATTAAATTATGAAAAAGGAAACTAAGTAAAAAACTAAAAATAATTTTCCTTAAGGGTCATGCTTAGTAATGTAGTGTAAATAACAACAGCATTTCTCACTGTTTTATGATTTTCCTTGTAGTTACTTTCGTCATGCAGCTGGTGATCCGTCGGTACCGTCCTGCAGACAAGGACACAGTGCTCACCCTCTTCAGTACTGGCATCTTGGAGCATATCCGTCCATGTTTCTATAACGCCATGACCAGTCCCCTTTACCTCACCATCACCCCGACTCTGTGTGCTGTTGGTTATCTCCTTGGCTCTGTGTTTGGAGCTGTACTGTTCCCAGCAGCTTGGGTAGGTCTCATCTACTACTGCTGTCATGAAGTATATGCCAGCTTCGTCAGGGTGAGACTTCGCAACGACATGCAGGACATCCCTGGGAACTTCCTCAGCAGACCTGATGACTGTTTCTGGGTGGCTGAGGCTGAGGTTGGAGCGAGAGCCCAGGTTGTTGGTATGGTGGCTGTGGTAGCTAAACACAGTGGGACAGAAAAGTATGGGGAAATGTTCAGAATGATCATTTTCCCACAGTATAGACGGATGGGCCTCGGCTTTAGGTTGACTCAGACCGCGGTTGACTTCTGTAAAGAACGGGGCTTCTCCAAGGTGGTGTTGGAGACTAGCTCCACCCAAATGGCAGCTGTGGCCCTGTACAGCAAAGTGGGGTTTAACCGTGTCCAGTCTCATATCAAAGCACAGGCAGCTCATTGGATCATTTCACTGGCCAGGGTCACGATTATAAGGATGGAAAAATACTTGTAAATCAAAAATAACACTCATCAGCAATGTGTTGTTTTCATGCTTGACTCCTCTTTAACAGTGGTTTAATATTTGGCAATGGTTAAACTTGACTGTAACCAAAATGTTGTTCAGGTGTAACTTTGGAAGAAAATGCCCAATCTGTTATATACTTTAGGACAAAGCACTATGAACAGATCTGAAAGTAAGGAGCAAGATGTTGTTACTAAAACCTGGTTTCCTCTTTATAGAGTACTTTACATATTCTCTGACTACACCTTAAGCCCCCCAAAAATTGTCTGTTAACAACATAAGGCCAATTAGCAGCTCCAGTCCTGTGAACCAAGATTTAACAGTTAATCCTTACATTGTGTACTTTTCAGTGACGATTAGAATAACTTAATGTAATCAGATGTACTGACCACTTTCTGCTGTATTCATTTAAAAAAGAAAGAAAGAAATGTTTTAAAATGTCATAACTGAGATACAGATAACATATTGTAAGCACATGATACAAAGATACATGTCGTAATAATATTAATAATAAAACCATTAACTTTTAAAAGGCAAACGTAGAGAATTTATATGCATCAGAGTGGACTTAAAATTCTCATTAAACTCTTCCATTGTTTTACACCTTTTTTCCTTGATGTAATCAGAATAACTGAGATATTTGCTTATGAAATGAAGACATGATTATTAAGACTGATGATGTTGAAAATTAAATCAAATCTAAATTCAGTATGTTGTGCCCCAGCCTGTACTGTAGATGTGAATGTGAACAGCAGAGGACACTATTGATCTAAGTAACACTGAAGCTCTTTTGATGAAAATCAGTATTTACTGATATTGTACTGTATTTACTTCCTTTTATACCAGAAAGTATTAGGAGTTTAAAATATGTGTGCACCAACAACAGTGCTGGGAAGTAAATACAGTACATTTTCTAATATGTTTTGTGAACACAAGTTTTATATCTAGAATATGTTGTGATAGACTGTGATGCAGAATATGAAACAATAACAGATGACCTAGTGCACAACCTTTCATGGGTAATGGTAGCAGTTTGAAACTCACTGACTGCTGTAGCTGGTGTTCATTACAACTTCCAACATTTTAAAAATTCTATGTGGTTTGATTTGTCATTTTTCAGACCAGAAAGGAAAAACATAGTATCTCCTGCAGTTAGCAAAAGACCACAAGGACTCCTCCCATTGTTTTTTGTGTTTTCCCATGCTGTACTGAAAACTAATTCCCCTCTAAGTGAAGCAAAATATGCATTTTTCTATGCTCAGGAGATACTTTGTTGTTCGTGTAAACACACTTTTGAGTTGTCTGCCTATTTTTCTAGTTTACCATTAGGGGGTGCCAAATATTTGAATCCTAAATAGAGTATCCTGGGCACGGTACAGTAAAATTCAGTTTTACGTGGATTTCCGGTTGATAGTTTTTCTAAGAACTGAACAAATTATTTAAATCAACACTGATCAGTATTGGCAGAAAATTGTAGGAACTGTGCTGGAAGACCAATATTGTGTGTATAGTATTCTTCTAGTCATTTTGTGTTTCATTTCTGAGAGCACGCCATATGTCTCAGGTTACTGAACACCTGAATGATGAGGGGTTAATATGCCACTTTTCTGCATGATCTACATCAGTCACAGAAAACAGGCTCCAGATATAAAAGGAAAGGATAAAAACAGCCTTTGTTATATGTGTCACACAAAAGATGATTGTTATGTAACAGACCATCTTATACAGAATAAAATATTATTTCATTTAAAGAAAATTCAGGTTCATTTCAATCATACTTTCTTTGTGGCCTTTTGGTAACTTTACTGTCTTCACTTCTGCCACAAATCAGCTGCCACGTGAACATGCTCACTGCTGTCAATATTTTTTTTCACATGTGATTACACACAGGTATGAAGATAAAAACAGAACCAGGTGTGCCTGGATTAACTTTAATTTACTGCTCTGCTGCCAGCTGAGGGGATGAACCTGAGTGAGACCTGTTAAATGTGTTTGTGACACAAGGACCATAAGACATAGCAGTTTGTTTTAGGCTGTACGCTTTCCAGCGCACTCCCGTCAATGCTGTCCTCTCCAACCCTCAGAGATCTCTTCTGGGCCCCAGCAGCTACTGAAATAGGGAAGGCGTGGTTTGTGTGATGGACCTCAGCTGTGGAGGTACCGTCCCCCGAACCCACTGCTCGATCCATCCCTTGCAGCTGAGCCACAAACCACACTCCACCACAGTGTTAAAACACTGAGGTCCTGGAGATGGCATGTCATCCTTGCCAGAGTCAAATGAAAGAAAAGAAAAAAAGGCTGGTTGTATCTCCTGTAGCATTTAGAAATTGGAAACTATTACTACCAATTACTGTATCAATTGAAAAGTATTTTATGTGTAAAACTTATGCTAAACTGTAAGTCACAACCTTACCTGTAGACAAATTGGTATATGCAGGTAACTATGTTAGCAGCAAGATGCTTTAAATGGAAATTTGTAAGGCAAGAAGCAAAATGGCCTCTTGTTTCTTGGCTATGGATTAAACTGTAGACAACAAAACGAGTACTGAATCAGGGTTTAAAAAGAGCATCTCAGTCTGTAGTTTTACTCACTTGTGTACCTATCTTTGATCCTTCCAGATGGGTGTAACTCTAAGAGTGGTTAGGTAATTAATGTTGCTTTATTTTCTGTCTATAAACTAACTTACCAAACTTAAGAATTAAAATGACATTAAAAAGTAACAGAACAATTATACTCAACGTGTATTCATTAGATATATTAAATGTAATCATTGCAATTCAAACAGAGACTAATTTTGCATGTAAAATGAGAAGTAAGAGCTGGTGAGAGGTCGAAGCTAAACACATGACGATCTGTATGTTGCTTGTGCATATATCCTACATCAATAAATACTGGAAACAACAAAGGGAGTGGAAATTTCTAAGTATGTGAGGTATGTTGCATGTGTACAGTAGCATGCATGTGACTCCTGTTTCATCATATTTGACAGCAGCCATCTTGGGTCAGTATTTTACCGCTCTTCAAAGGACTTCTTGTCCATTATTTGGTCTCTGTCAGAAGATAAATGTACGAAAAGTCACGTAAACCTGTTGACAGCACAAAATATCTAAAGAATTGCTTTGATTTACTCTGGTGCCACTTTGTCTGAAAAAATATTTGTTTCCCTCTGTTGTGACATTTTTGGTTACAGAAAGTCATTTCAACATAAGATGAGAGCAAATCAATATCACGTTTAGGCAGTCTGAGATATTGTGGAGATAAAATAAAGAGATAAAAAAATAAATAAAATAAAAATAAATACAAAATTATATATATATATATATATATATATATATATATATATATATATGTGTGTGTGTGTGTGTGTGTGTGTGTGCGTGCGTTTTTGTGTATATATATATATATATATATATATATAAAAACACCCAGCACGCCCCTGCGGGCGGTTTATCCTTCAAGCTCGGGTCCTCTACCAGAGGCCTGGGAGCTTGAGGGTCCTGCGCATTATCTTAGCTGTTCCCAGGACTGCGCTCTTCTGGACAGAGATCTCCGATGTTGTTCCCGGGATCTGCTGGAGCCACTCGCCTAGCTTGGGAGTCACTGCACCTAGTGCTCCGATTACCACGGGGACCACCGTTACCTTCACCCTCCACATCCTCTCGAGCTCTTCTCTGAGCCCTTGGTATTTCTCCAGCTTCTCGTGTTCCTTCTTCCTGATATTGCTGTCATTCAGAACTGCTACATCGATCCCTACGGCCGTCTTCTTCTGTTTATCTACCACCACTATGTCCGGTTGGTTAGCCATCACCATTTTGTCCGTCTGTATCTGGAAGTCCCACAGGATCTTAGCTCGGTCATTCTCCACCACCCTTGGGGGCATCTCCCATTTTGACCTCGGGACTTCTAGGTTATACTCGGCCAGCAGATCCCGGGAACAACATCGGAGATCTCTGTCCAGAAGAGCGCAGTCCTGGGAACAGCTAAGATACTGCGCAGGACCCTCAAGCTCCCAGGCCTCTGGTAGAGGACCCAAGCTTGAAGGATAAACCGCCCGCAGGGGCGTGCTGGGTGTTATATATATATATATATATATATATATATATATAAATCTTATAAAGTTTGTATCTGTCTTGTGTGAAATTTGTATGAAAAGCATACAAGAGTGAAAACAGATATATGATGCCTTGAAAAATTATATATATGAAACTTGTATGTTTTGGATACTTACTGGACTGTATTTTGTTCTCTTCTGGAAGTTATTTAATACTTGCACTTTCCAAATACTTGGTCTTTAATATAAACCAAATTCTTTTACACTTTTTATATACCCAGTTTATTAGATACATGTGTTTAAATGCTTATTAAGCCCAGTTTAAAGCAATGTAATGCATTACTGTTCTAAATTCAGTAATTGCATTAAAGTTACAATTATGCTGTTACTTGTGTTTCAAAGGTTCTTCAGCTATCTGTACCAGGCAGATGGAAACAAAAAGCAATATTATTATTATTTTTCTTCCTGGGCCCATTATAATTAGAGATACAGCTTTTGAGGAGTGGGGATATGGAGACAAGAGAGTGATGGTAAAGCGGAAACTGCATCCAGTACAGTAACAACCACATTATACAGCAAGCAGAACTTTAGCTCTTTGCATTCACTGTTCATGTCACTAAAGTGGAATCACTGTGGTGATCGCCAGTGCATTTTTCGCCCAGGCAGTGCACCATGATGGCTCAAAAAAAAAAAGAAGTTATATTATGTATATCTGAGATGTTGTTGGGTTAGTTATTAGTTGAACTGCAGCATGTGACGATAATTGAGAGCTACACTTTAGTTATTAGCAGTGGCTCGTAGCCATTCACTTTAATGAATCCTTGAATTTCTCTCTAGCTATGTCCTTCCATCTATTTTCTTACCATGTTAATTTCACTGTCTTCCTCTCTTCCTCACACTGCTGTTGGGACTGTGGTCCCTCCTGCTGCTTTTCTCCACAGCTCTTGCTACCAG